GTTAGGAAAACAATGATTTCTGCAGTTCTGCCTTTCAGGAAAGAAGTGCAACAGATCACCTGAAGACATCCTGCTCAGGAGACAGCAGATCAATGTTATTAGGAGATCCCCCTAGCGTACCAAAACTGCCTGGGCAAATCACATACTTGAGTTTCTGATTTATTTTTTTTTTTTTTTGCTCAAAGAACAAAAAGAAAGCATGTGAAAGGTTTACAGTGGTGAAAGAAGTCAGAGTCTTGCTGAGAGTAATACAATAACTGCAAAGATTTCATAAATACCAATAGCCCTTTCTGTTTCTATTATTCACACCAGGGCTAGAGTTGATACATGGAAGAGCTGGGTATTCAGGACTGATTATTATGTCCACTGTAATGTCTGAGGAAGAAGGAAACAAAGATGGAAGGAGGAAGAAAGGAAAGAAAGAGGGAGAAAAGGAGGGCAGAGGGGAGAAAAGAGGGAGAAAGAGAGGGAAGGAGGGAGGGAGGGAGTGGGGAAAGAAGAAAGGAAGGAAAGAGGTAAGAGGGGAAGGAAATCTTCAGTTCCAAACATCTCCACTCTTCAAGTTCTGCTACTTTTTCCAGTGCTCAGTATTTTCTAAATCTGAGTTTTCCTGAGTGATGATTTTGTCCAGATATTTTTAGATAAGTTATTTTAAAAATGCTGTTCGTGGCATACAAGTCTACATGTGCCAAATACCTTTCATGCCTACAAATGTCAAAGGGAAATAAAAAGTGTTTCTTAATTTAAGGAGTCAAATCATCAGATGAGGATTACTATGTTTCCTGTGTTGTTTTCTATTTTTTTAAAATCCTTTCCTTAAATGAAACTTAGAAGACATTTTCTGTAAAAATTATCATAATCATTTGTACTCAGTAGATACCATTGCATGTAATTAGAATAAAGCTGGTTGATAATTATATCAGCCTTAATGAATTCACCCCAAGATGCAGCTGTGCTGTATCTGAAGCAGTTAGTAAAATTGTGCTGAAGAAAAATAATTGCCACAGATATAATTGAACAGTTCACACCCATTCATTCATTCATTCATTCATTCATTCATTCATTCATTCCCCAATTAAGTGACCTACAAGAAGTGCTTATTCATGCTGTTGAAATAGAAAAGAACCAGTTATTCTAGCTATCTTTCACTGTACTGTTTATCACAATTTTTAAAAAATTTAAGTAGAAATACCTAGCTGTGCAAATCCAGCCATAAATGACAGTCATGATAGTAATGATGTCATAGAAGTCTCTTTACCTGAGTTTTTCTGTGGGCTGTTTTTCACCTGACTAGCTGCATGGTTTTAGCCCCGTTAAAATGAGGCTGACACTTCAGAAAAAAACAAATTGTGTTTGAAATTGGGACTGTTAAAATGTGATAGTGCCAGCAGGAAATCCAGAGTGGTAATACCGAAGTCCTGTAAAGGGCAAAAAGCAAAAACGTGAAAGGTGATACTCTTTTTGTTTTGACATATCTAATATTTTTAAGCTCCTAGAAGCTGTTTCATAACATTTTGCCAGGTTATAACTTACCAACCAAGCTTGAGACATAACTGCAGTATAATAGTTATAAAGATTTCATAGCAAGTGGCATTTTTCAATGGCAAATATTGGTCTTTTTCAACCCTTCGAGTATTTGCAAAACAGTTTAGCTAGATCAAAGGTAGTAAAAAATCCCATTCTTCAAAACCTCCCCATGGTTTAGTAAGAAGAGATCTACAGCAGGCAGATATTTTTCAATACACAGATTTTACGTCAATCACTAATCTGAAAGGGGGAATATTCCTATCTTTTCGTCTGGTAATAATGAAAAGATGTCATGTCATTGTAGAGTCTCAAAGGAAAAGAAAGGAAGGTTGAGGCTTTCTGGCTTCCTACATCATCCTTCTCTCCCTGTACCTCGGTGTGCCATATTTAATAATAATGTTCCCTAATGAGAAAGCATTCCCTACACATTTAATGTGATTCACAGTCTAGTGCAGACTCTCCTCGTAACACTTCTCTCTCAAAGATGCACTTACAGATCTCTGTTTTCAAAAGAGCTCAGCACATCACAATTGAGCCTAAATTTTCAAAAAGATTCAGTTCCAATTTGATCTTCCCAAAGGAGTGCCAGATTTTCAGAAAAGCACAATACCCAACACTTTAGCTCCTATTGTCATATGCACAGCCTACATTTTCAAGTTATTTTAAAATGTGAATTCTTCTGAAAATGTAATTGCTAATTTAACTCCTCACTGGGACTGTTTCATTCCATAGTTGATTCTCATCTGTTACTGCCAAGCTTTTATTTTGTAGGAAATGGAAGAATAGCATTCTGTGGCTCAAGTGGGTATTCATAAAATAAACTTAAGAAAAATAATTTAAATATATATATATCAAAACTCTTCCTAAGTAGAAATAAAGTTCCCTTGGTAATCTAATTTTGAGGTACTTTTCACTCAGAAATGCTCTGAGGTCCTGATCTCACAAAAGGAAGTGAAAGGCTTCTCTCAGTACTTAGGGGTGTTTATTTGGGTTATGGACATGACAGGTCCCTGACTGAAATGGTATTTTGTTTTCTGGACAGCTTTGTTTATGGGCTTTCTATAGCAGTACAGGAGAAAATGCCCCATTTAATCTGATAGATTTCACCTTCCCAATCCTAGATAGTGTGATACATAATTCAGGAGTGTTGTAATGGCCATTTTAAACCAATAGTATTTTTTTTTGAAAGCGTCTTCTATTGCAATAATTCTAAAACTTTCCAAAGGGAAGACAGAGATACCCAGCAGCTAGTGAATTGTAGTTCTCCAGGTTTATCAGGGTATCCAAGAGCGTTCCCAGACGTATCTTCACCTCTCCTCACCTGCCCATTTCCTCCTACACCCTCTGGGAACTTCCCCCTTGGGGATTCTGAAGAACCTTGCTACTATCCATCATAAAGAGGGTGGCGATACACTGGAATAGGTTGCCCAAGGATGTTGTGGATGCTCCATCCCTGGAGGCATTCAACTCCAGGCTGGATGTGGCTCTGGGCAGTGTGGTCTAGGAGTTGGCAAAACCGCCTATGGCAGGAGGGTTGAAACTAGATCATAGAATCATAGAATCACCAAGGTTGGAAAAGACCTAAAAGATCATCCAGTCCAACCGTGCACCTATTCCCAATAGCTCCCACTAAACCAGGTTATCAGGGTGTGGGGGGAGCTTGTTCCTCAGTCTGTGATACCCTACAGTCCATGTGTCCCCAGAGCTGTGTTACAGATGAGCAGTGATGTGGGTGATGTGGGTGAAGGCTGCAGAGTGTACAGCACCAGTGCACTCCACAGACAGCCCATGAGCCTACCACAGCAGCACTGCTAAGCACAGGGACAGTGAGGTTGGCTGCAGCTTGTAGATCCTGACTATAGCATAAGTTGTTTGAATCTGGGGAAACGAGCTGACGTGGGAGGAAAAGAGGAAACTATAATGCAGAATGCTAAATCCTGCTCTGTTCCACAACAAATTATGCAAGTCTGCCCTGATAATTTCGAGATCACATTTCCCTTTGCACTGCAGCTTAAAGTCTCTTCTATTTTTTCCTGCATCACTCTTGGGGGTTATTTTTCTGAGTTGTCGTTCAAGAGTAATAGTTGTACTCATTCACCTCCTCTCCTCCAGCTTCACTGCTGCATTGCTGTGTCTGTCATTTGCAGCTTCAAATTTCCTGCCCTGTGAAGGGCGTTACTTCATCTCAGCTAATTTATTTTTCAGGCCTTTAGTTCATCAGGACTTTTGACTAATGAATATATTGTTTTCTCTGCCCTCCATCCCTCCTTCACTCTCTGATGATCATTGTGGTCTTTTTCAACTCAGGCCATTCTGTGATTCTATGATAGATCTCTCTAAGCTGAGTCTATTTTGCCCATGCTGGTAATTGAATGAGAGATCTCCTTGTCCTTACCTCAATCTGTGAGCAATTTTTTTCATTGCATTTTCTCCTGCTGTCCTTTTTAGGAGAGGGCGTCAGAGAGCAGTGGAGTGGTGCTGAGCTACTCGCTGGTGTTAAATCAACTACTTGGGAATGGTTTGCTGCTAACTTTGTAAGTGTGGCATATATATATATTTTTTTTAAATATCATTTCAATTATTTTAATAGTAAAATAAATTTTCCCCTGAACTGTCCTGGCTTCCCCTGAAAAAGCTTGCTTGGCTTTTGACCTGGAGTAGACATTGGTATTATGTCTTTATATAGTAGATTTCCTGGTTTTGCTCATCACTGGAAAAAAAGTATGATTCAAATATTCTCTAACAGAATACTATTTATGTAAGCATCAAAATATTCTCTCTTCAAGAAATTTACATGCTATTCTTGATCATAACTGACAGGCTATAGTATCTACTCCAGATTTACATATGTACATTTCCATATAGTCATATTTGGATATTCATTAAATGTCTCGTGTGTCTTAGAGAAAAAACTATCAACATTATTTACATTATGTAATGGAATTCGGCAAAAACAATCATTCTGAACCCCAAAAATCATCTTTTAATAAGTAAGATTCAGGAACAAGTGCAACTGATCTTCAGTTTTACTAAGATATATCTGCAGATGTTTTATTTAGAATCATAGAATCAGGTTGGAAAAGGCCTTAAAGATCAAGTCCAACCATGACCTAGCCATATTACTATAACAACCCTGCGATGTCATGTTTCATTTCTTCTTCCCTAAGAATAAACTAAATACAGGTTTATATTTCAGGCTTCGAAATTTTCATGAAATAGGGATGAATGAGTTGCTAAGAAGAATGGGAGCTATTCAATTAAAAACATGTTTTAAAATTCAAAGAGGAAAAAAATCTCTCCCTAATCTCTCAAGGGCAAAGCTACTGAGTAGCAGAGAAAAATGCTAATAGCATTTCACAGAAATTAAATTTTGACAATTAAAATAGTTTATTTTCACTGCTCTTGGAACACATTCATAGTAATGGTGGCGTATAGTTTCAAGTTTCAGCTTTACCATCACACAGCTTTCAAGGAGACTAAGAAGTATTTGCAAAAATCTTAATACCTGAACTGCAGTTACTTTATCAAGGTATAGCAGAAATGAACCTGAATTAAACTATGTTTCCTTCAAGACACAGAATGTGTAAGTCAATTTGACTGATACAAAACAAGAGAAATTCCCAAGCAATGAATGGAATAGCATGGATTTAGATCCAGCTCAGATTCTGTGCTGCCAGAAATATATTTAGAGACATGTGGAAAGTATATGAAAGAATACAGCCACACAAATGACCAAAAATGAGGTAGCATTCACGGACAGAACTGTCACCATTAATCAGGTGTGTGCTTTTGCTCACTCCAATCAAGAGGTCATTGAGTTAAGCCTCAGTAGAGAAGATTCATTTCACTTGTATTCAATGTGCGTCAGTAACACCTTCTAATAAATTAATTCTCTTCTTGGGAAGTGGTGTTAAGAAAGTGTTATATACAAGACAATAGATTTAAGAATTTTTTCCACCTTGTACTTTATTCTTTTGAGTCTGAAATTCATCCCTTCTAACTGCATGAGATAGCTATTTCCATTAACATTCTCACAAGAAAGAAATAATGGGTACCACAGCTAAACATAAGGAGGGGACTGATGTCTGAAAGAACGTACTTAGCAAATAGCTATCAGTGTTTTTCTGTCAAGGCAGATGTAGCCAGAAAGATTCTGCAAGTTGTGTCTGGATCTATCAGTATTTGATGTTTTAGTTTTTATCAGAATTGTTGATTTTATTGATTTTTTTTTTTTTATTTTAAATAAAAATAATAATTTTAGTATAAATTTTACTAATCATAGAACCACATAATGGCATTATAGGATATACCTAATAAATCCACAGACAACAGATAACTGAGACAGACTGATGCTGCTTGATTGGAGACAGGTTTAGAATTCAAAATAACCTTAACAAATTGGACTGAAAGCAGTAGGGAGTTAGAGTATGACCTGATGAAAACTATATCATGACCATGGGAAAAATGTAACTGAGGAGAAATCACCTGCAGACCAATATAGAAAAGCTAAGGTATGGCACATACCTGGGCACTGCCACTGCTTCTCTTCCTGCGTGGCCATGAGGGATTTTCCCATTTCTAGTTCTCTCCTTCTCTTGATGTATCATGTATGAGCCCTCCCGACTAATCTTAATGTGTGTGAACTTAATAACCTTCATGAAACATGGGATGTTATTCCTGCACACCACCCTTTTAGCACAGTATTGGCTCCCTGGTCAGTTCAAGCTGAAATAAATCATAGTTGCTGCCAGAAGGGGAAGAACTGCTGTGGCTCCTGCATGTGGCTGTTGCTTCAACACCTCAGTTATGACAGCAAAGTTTGTATGGTTCTTCAGTCTACCAGTCCTTTCACTCCTCAAGCTTAGTTTTTGAATAAAACTCCTCCCATATATTGACTTTGAAAGAGGAGGAGACTTTCGGTGGTGAAAAGCTGGAGACAAACCTTCAGCATGAGAGCAGACTAAATCATCCTCAGCCACTTGTGCATCTCATCCTGAGGAAGAACAATTAAGTCTTTAAGACACAGCAAGAGCCTTCAGATACACAAGAGATGCTAAAGAAAGTCCAGGAATAGTATCTCCATGTTTTAGCAAGTATGACTTGCATTAGCTAAATTCAAATACTAAGGGTAAGGAAGAACTGAAACAAATTACCTGAGAGTTTCATGGCTCCTCCAGCTTTGGAGATCTTTCTAAATGGTTGAGATAAGAACGTATTGCAATCACCATAGATGCAGTCAGTCCTGTCCTTGGAAAAGAGGGAGAATTGTAGCAGCTTTCGGTTTTGCAGCTGTTACTGTTGGAAAAAGTATTGTGGTGTTATTATTGGAAAGAATATCATAGAGAAATGGAAAGAAACAAACAGAGAAGGAATGTTCACCCACATTCAAGGAATGAGGCACACAATAAAAGAATTCACAAAGAAGCAATCTCTAGAAAGAGATATTTCCCCAGTCATAGTTAGCTCTTAAATGGGGCCAGGCTCCACCTCTTCTGGTCACACAGGTGAATTGCCTTCACCTGTGCTCCAATGGCTAACCCAGTCCTTGCCTCAGGTGATCAATCAGTGGTTCAGGCTGTGACTCAACAGTTCCCATGCAGCAGCTGAACAGAGATCAACTGATGGGCTCCTCTCTCCACCAGTCATTGAATAGCCCCCAAATGCCTCCTCTCTACTACCCAATTTTCTTCACCATGTCTTGCAGGTTCCCATCTAGATAAACTCTGAGGTATCAAAGAAGGCAGCCCCTGCATCCAAATTCTAATTACTCCCAGTACATTCGAAGAAAGAGGAAAAGAACACTCAACTTTTTCTTTTACAATGCCTTTCCCACGCTACATACCACTGTACACATATCTGATAGCAATCAGCTAGTCTGACAAAATATGTATGATTCTGAGAATTTATTCTCAGAATATTCTCTTATATTTTCTCTGTATTCTCTTATATTGTCAATAAGATAATAAGATAATATATATAAGATAAAGAATTATCTTCCCCATAAATTATACATGACCCATTTTAAATGCATGTGTCTGAGGAACAGGCAATAATACAAGTGAAATAGGCAGTGAAGCATTATTTCAAAGGAAATACTAGTGGTATTAGATACTTTTTTTCTGTTTCCATCCAAAGCACAGTGCCTCCTGGATCAGAGCATCACATCTATGCACTACTTTTTACAATGAGAATTGTACAAACACCATGGTACTAGATGATCCCATATAAGCTGCTAATATTTTCTGGCCCTTCTCTCCTCATCCCACTGCAAAGAGTACAACAGATGTACAAAAATGTTCAGTGAAGCAGTGACAGATAACAAGAAAAAGAGAGGCTAATTAAATCAGAAGGCAATAAGATGGGGATTTAAACTAATAAAAGCACAATATAGTAACTAACGGACTATATACTGAGCATGGTTTAGGTATATTCTGCTGCTCTTTCATATACAAAATGACTAAGGTGTTTGATTAAATATAAAGGCAAGACTTTACAAGTTTATGATATAAGGCAACAATTAAATCCTGAAGACAAAAGGATTCTTGCTCTTTTGCCTTTTCCTGTACTATCCCAGGTCAACATTTTTAGTGGGGTTAGGCCCATTGCTCAACGTAAGAAATTATCAAAACATCAGTAAAATAGCAGACGTAAGAACTTTGCTGAAATGTGAATGCAGATGGATTGAAGATCTCAGCTTAGATGAATGTTTCCTTAAAAGAGAAAAGGAAAATGAGACATCTAATGATGCTGGCTATTCCTAATTGACTCACAAAAGAAATAATGATAAAAATATAACCTTACTGAACATTTTGCAAAGTAATGCTATCAAAGCAAAGTATATTCACAAAATCTGGCCTCAGTTTGTACTGCTGAAATATAAAGACTAAAAGAGCAATAGTCCACTGAATTTCTGGAAGATTACTCCTATGTGCTTTCTAATTTTTATTATTATTACTTACACTTCAAATACAGAAAATCTACTTGGCAAACAAGGCTGATCTTTTTTTAAAGATCACCAAAATAATTAGACTTAGAAGTCTGAGTAAATCTGATTAAATCCAGTAATGAATTTTGAAATGTGGTTTTAGCCATCCTCTATCAAACTCATGGGGTCTTCCAAAGCAGTTGTTGGCTTCTGTCATTCTGTCTCATTCTGTAGTTCCTTTCAGAATAACAATCCCAAACCCTTTCAAAAAGTACTTCTACCCTTTGAGCACTGAATTTTTGTCTGTTATATATCTGGCTATATTATATATAACTAGCCACTGAAAGGAGCAGCAGTGGAAATCACATCAGGACTATGGGCTGAAGAGCAGCTCTTCTTCAGCTTCTCATTCTCATGTTCCTGACCAAGCTCTCCAGACTGGACACGTGGTGATGGTGAGGTAAAGAAGTTGTTCATGGAATTAAACAGTTAATAAACTAAGATCATTTTTTTCTGAGGACACGTGCTATGTCCCCTACTTTCTCTTGCTGCTCATCCTCTTTCCTCTCCATTCCCTGCTTGCTGTGCTTGATACCATATGACATGACTGTGTATGTGCTAATGGATCAGTCAGCTCATGCATGCTGACTGACAAGATGGCTGATGTCTCTTAGGAGGCGTCTTAGGAAGAAGCTGAACTATAACAATCTTTGCCCCTACTGGGGCACTAATCCGGATTTCTGTTTCCCATCTTGCCCTCTGCTTACAGCTACCAACTAGAAGAAGACAGCCAAGTTCTTCCCCTCTCTCTTTTGTCACAGCTAGATTCAGGTCCCTTTTTGTGAGTAGCTGCCAGTTTCTCACAGTATACATATGAAATAAATATATTTGAGCCTATGACCATCTGTCAGAACAGGCCAAAAATTTAGTGAAAACTAACAGGTAGGTTGCATGGTCAAATATGATTCAAGTTCTTCAAGTTAGCTTTTGGCTAACTTTGGCTATTATATGATTGAGTGCTCTAGAATTGAAGTTTGCAGTGCAGCACAGTGACTCTATCCCTACTTCCCAGGATAGTGTATGGTCTTAGCTAAGAAAAACAAAAAATCCCAACGATGATCTCCATGGACAAAAGAAACACAGTAAGTATATTAGTTTATTCTGAAAAGCCTCATATTTTCCTTGCTTTCAACAGATAATTTACTTGAGAGTCTCCTAATATTAGACCACTAAAACTTTTGGAACATTTGCCACCACTGACTTCTCTGGATTACTAACAGCATAGAAATATTCAGCAGCAACAAAAGTAGCAAAAGTACAATAACAAGGACTGAAATAAGATTTTAATAAGCATAGTGAAATGTAGTATAGATCCTGGGCTGGTGGTTTTATGCATATGATATTAATCAGAAATTCTGAAGCATAGAGAAGCTGCAAGAGTCCTTCAATGTCCATTATGTTTTAGATGGAATATGCTGCTTTTACTGCAATTAAACAAGCCTTGATGCTTAACCAGTTTGCAAGTTGCCTTATGATTTTCTGTGTGGAATAGAAAAACAATGGAGCAGACTGACAATGTTTTCCACTATCATACACACTGCACAGCTGTTATTGACAAGGTACTCAGAAGTATCTGTCTGTATGCTCCTCAGATACTTTTTCTGTTTTGCTCCTTCGTTTTCACACACTAATTCAATGCTCATTATTATTTTAATATTGTAAAATTCCAGTGAACAGAAGACTGAATCCAGAGAAGCACAGCACCTTTTAGTCGTAGATCAGCAGCAGCCTCACAAATACCATGATCATCACTTGGCTTATTTGATATTCTACGCAACAAGCCTGCTTTTAGTCCTCCACTAGAGAGCTAGTACTTCTGGATTCCCATGTGAGTAAGTCATGCCTGCAAAGGCTCTATTATTGCCATTATCCTACCATCTAGAAATGGCAGATTTAAATATTTTAAACAGGAAAGTGACATAAGATGGAGAATAAATATTTTGTGGGCTAATAAATTTCATTTTCTGTTTGGAAATCTGCTGTTCAGAAAACGTTTAAATGCTAAAAAAAAATGCTAGATTACAGAAACAAATTTTATTCTAGCTTCTCACCCATCACATACAAACTGAGGAAAGAAATAATATGCATTTTTGTAGAAACAAAAGTGAGTAACAAGATGGAAATGCCTTTTAGAAGAGGAGGATTGGCAGTCAGTATTTCACAATTGTTTGCAAAGCAGATGGAGCTTCCAACAAATGGCCCCGTCTCTCTGACCTGCACACAACATCTCCTTACTCCAGGAATACGCCTTGAAAGTGCTGCTCTTTTTAGATGACATTTTACATTCATGCTCCATGACTGTATTTATAAGGAATGGGCAAGGAGCTAGCGGCATTAGTTCTGGTGTATGGATAGAAATTGAGTGTCAGGAGAAATGTGCTCTTTCAGCTATAGTCCTCTTCCTCTTCACTTAAATGGATATGGACCACAGTAAAGGTATGTAAAAAAAATCAAGAGAGAAGAGGCCTTGCTAGCAGGGATATGCAAGGAAGCATCTGTACTTGAAAGAATCGAGGCTAAATTCATAGGCAGGGTGTTTATGATTAACAGAGATAGTTGCTGAGAATAGAAGACCATTTAAGGCAAGGTTTCAGTGAAGGACAGCTCCTTTGTCTGTGTCTAGAGAACAGCAAGAGCACCTGTTCCAGAAAGATAAAATGGAAGGAAAATACATTCTTCTTCCATTTCTTGCATGAAGAGTGGTGAAAACAGATACAAATATAAGAAAGCACAGTACAAGCCAACACGAAGACTTGATTTAACACAGTCTTGAAGTTTTCTGCTTGGATGATGCTATTAAAAACCTCCATGATCAATGAATTTCATTTCTGCTGAGGAAAAGAGGGAGCCTGAAACCATCAGCAGTTTCTAAAGAACGTACAAACAGCAAACAGTCAGTGATTCATTCAGCAAGTGACTTGACTTCTTAAAGATTCTCTTCTAAGTCGAGCTAGCCTGCTTGAGAAAGCACCATATTCATGATGAGAACCTCTGCTTTGAGTTTTTCAGCAGGATCAGATGTAGCCAGAGTTCTGGCATCACACTGGAGGTGACCTGCAGCAGCACAGCAGGTAACAAGCCTCCACGTCTCAATCCCATCTCATGCTCTGATCTGTCTCTGTCCTGGAAAGCTCTGATGAGCTTTCCAGGAACCCAGGAACCCACCACTTTGCCTCGAATTTTCTTCATCTTTGCTGCAGATTAGTTGCTGCGTTTGCTTGTTTGTTTGCTTGTTTTTGCTATTGTTTGGTTTGGTTAAACATCTAAAACCTGCAATTGCTTTTGTGCAGTGAGGTTCCTTTTCCCCGCAGCAGTCCCGGACAACAAAGGCACTATTTGTAAAGCAATACGTTAAATAAGTGGCTTCAGCTTTCTTTTTACATATGAATAGATGCAGTGCTGGTCACAGTAGGCACGGACTTAATAGGAAGACATAAGGG